TCAAATGATCCTCCTACCTTGGCCTCCCAAAGTCCTGGGATTACAAGTATGAGCCACGGTGACCGGCCCCTATTTTAAATTGTGTTTTTGTGGAATTTGTGAAAGAAATGAACCAAAAGTAACAACTTCCCAGGGGACAGCCACACACATAAGCCATCATAGCCATCATAACCAGTACTAATTGGTTTCCATATCAGCAGAAAAGTTAATTTGGTGACAAAACTGAGTTTTACTACCTTTAGGCTATTCAATACCAAAAAATTCTTGAAAGACCAATAAGGAGAATCTTTTATTATTCATTGACCTTACTAGCACCAACATAAATTTCTTTAATCTCAACATGGTGCTTTTCGCTGTTTGTATTTATATGTACTTTTGATGTGAGTTTAAGGCAGTTTGAAAGATTCGTATTAAAACCTTTGTATTTATAGGAGTTGGTAAGCGTTATTATACATAAGAACCAATAAAATACTATTTACTCTTTGAAAAATGCATGAGTAAACAAATTATTCTTTTACTAATTAACTTTAAAGAAGAAATCATAATTGTATGATGCTGGATTTAGTGACAGCCAACAGCCTGGAATCTCACTTGGCTTTATCCTTTATCACCCTGTCTAAACAATATTGCAACCCTTTTAATGTTTTATAAAGACAAAAAAGTACAATATCTCCTGCCTCATTTGTGCTATCAGTATACAGCCCTTTTATAAAAGGGCTCACAAACATATATACGTGTGTGTATACACAAAAACATATATAACGACCAACTCTTTTTCATATAGTCTCTTAACAAGTAACCTAAATTCTAACAAGAAGCTCTTATTTCATTCTAGTTCCTTCTAATTTGGTCTGCACCAAAACTATTCAGAACTTATGGTAACATATTCCACCAAGCACTCATAACCTACAATGATGAATTACCTGTTAGCCTTTTAATAAAAGGGGCACTTTCCCAACTGAGAAGCACCTATATGACATGTACATTTTAATATCCCTGATATCACCGATGAAGAGTGAAAGGAAGGAATAAAAATAGAGATCGAAAACAGAGAAAAGTAAAAGAATGCTTCAAAAGAGTTGGATTTTTTTTTTTGTAGACTCACCCCATGTGGTTGTCTTGAGGTTTTCATCACCCGTCTGAACAATGCTGGATTGTGTTGGTTTCTGACAGTCCTTATTGATTACAATCTCCTTTGCTGGGTCAAATGTTTTGAATGAGGGAGAGACATAGAATGTCTCAACAGAGGCCTGGTTACAGAAAGTAGAATCTGACTTGGATATCGTTAAATTGTGACTGATAAATTCTTTACTTGATGACCAAAATGCTGGTAAAGTTGTCAATGTTTCAAAACTTTTTGCAGCTGATTGCTTTTCTAGAGGCGTTTGTAAGGGGTCTTCTGTTACAGCATTTGTAGTGGTACGGGTACTATCTGATTTCTTGTCCAAATTCACATTTGTCTGCAGAGATGGGCTTTTTTCTGAGGGAGTAGGCGCAGCATCTATAGAGCAACAAATAAGAACTATAATCAAATAATAAAACCGAAAATACTCTATTTCAAATCTGTTGCAATCTTAATAAATAGGACTTTTTAATGCCTTAACAGAATTCTTTTCTATTTAGTCCTTCTGCTTTCTTACTATGCTTCTATATTCTGCCTATTTAAAGTATACCCAAGCTATAATTGATGCCTTAGTCATTTGGTAGCTGCCTTCTCTCTGCTCACTGAAACACAAGGCAAGGAAAGATTCAAATACCTTGTCTTTAAATATTTCTCCTTTCACCCACTTATCTGTCTCTGAAACCACCATATTTTTAGTACTTTCAAACTTTCGTCTTTTACACGATTAACTAGGGGAAATATGCCACATCATACTGGTCTATCCTTATGGAACTCTCATCTATAAAAAAAGTCTTTTTCCTCAAAATAAAGAATGTCTTCTTCCCCTCAGTGTCTATATGAGGCACATTAAAGAAACTCAGTACTTTAGGCAGCAGAATAATAATAATCCATGAATTATGGACCTGGTCTGAATTTCTAAATGCAAACTGCTATCAACACTCTCAGTGCTGAGGCTTGCTGTCATATATTTTCATCTGAGTCTGGATATGAAAAGAAAGAAAATTATTTTTAACAGATTGCGTTCATGAAATTAGAAGGGTAGCTAGGTGAAAGAGGGCAAAAGGAAGATTGTGAGATTTAAAGCTCCCCAAGGGGAAGAGGATGCATAAATTGTGTAATTTGCTATCAAGTGATTATATATCACAATGTATATATCATAACACTTCATAATACACATTTATATGCTATCCTCATCACTTCTAGGCTCTGAGTTGTTAAAGAAAAGAAAATTTTCTTTGACTCTAAAAACCTTCCTTTCCATTTTCATCCACAGCTAGAGGTTAGCCTGAACAAAAAAGCTGCTGGTATTTTATACAGTATTAGACAATTCAAGAAACTTATATTGATTTCTCCCTCAGAAATTCCATTTTTCTTCAATCCTCTCATCTTTTAAAACTCAATTCAAGTATCACTTTCTCTTTAAAGCTTGCCCTGACCCTTTTCTTTCCTCGCCTATTCTATTATTGTCTATCTTACTGTATCCTGTTTGAAGCCCTGTGCGTAATTATAAAACTTTTTATCTCATTTATTACAAGTCTTGCTCCCTACCTGACAATAGTCTCCTTGAGGAGACCTTACTTAGGAGTCATCTTTGTATCCCAGCACCAACCAGTTCCATTCCTAGAGGATGTATTCAATCAATGCTCATTGAGGAAAAGGAAAAGGAAAAACTGAAGCACAGGGATTAAAGAAAAAGTAATGCCTTTGTTATTTTAAATTGAATATAGTTTACTTAATGATGAAAGGAAACAGAAAATAGGTAGAGGAAAATAATCTCTCCTAAAATATT